GGGCTAGGGCCCAGAGCTGCACCTGAGCATGTTAACGTCTCCCAGGGTGTGCTGCGTGTGCTCCGTGAAGGGTCAGGAAGAAGCAGGGGAAGAGCAGTCATCTCCAGGCTTCTAGAACTGCAGCTAAGACGAGATTTCACCTTCCACTGGGGATACTCCAGTGCAGGATCCTGGACTCCTTGCCTGCCTCCCCTGAGTCCTGGCCCTGCTCCTGGGGCCTCCAGCCTGCCATGGGCACACAGAAAGACGGGGAGGAGGAATAGACCCCCAGGTGTTCGCAAAGTCCCACGGGCACCCCAGCCTGGGTGCCCACCTCCGACAGGAGTCAGGGATGTCTTCAACCTGAGTTGTCTAGACTCCTCTCTTGTTTATGTGAAGGAGGGCCTGGTGGAGAGTACGGCCTGCACCCCTGTGGTGGACCACGGGATTTCAGGGTTAGAAAGCCATGGCTGGGTTTCCCTGATGGAGGGGATGAGGCTGGTGCCTTTAATGGGCTCAGTGGGTCAGGGGCAATGATGAGGGGACCCCCGGGCGCTCAAGGCCCTGCCCAGACACCTCAGAGTAAACCCTCAGCACCAGCAGGTGAGGATCTGGCCCATGGGTCCCACGGTTGCTGGTTCAGACACAGCTGCTTCCTCATAGGAACGTCCTGGGAGTTCCATTTTGAGGGTGGCCTGCCATACTTGAGAGCAGAGGGAGGAAAGCACTCCACCCCTCCTCACACACACCTTTGGATGTTGCTCTTGCAGAAGAATACGAAGCGACATTTTATGTACCAGGCATACCTCGAAGTAAGAAGGAGGAAATTATTTGCAGATATCAGTTGCCATTCTCGCAGCCCTTCAGTAAGTAGTCCCCTTCAGCCTCCACATGACAAATTTCCCACGCCAGGCTGCATTCCCCTCAGCCAGCCAAGCCTTCAAAGTTCTTGCTGACCATTCTCTGTGGACGCTGTGGGGATAGAGGCGGCATGGACAAGCAGAGGAGGGACCTACCTGAGAAGCCTGGCCACCTCCCCTTCATCTGCAAGCCAGGAAGTCGTCAGCCCCCAGCACCACAAGAGGACTTGGAGCGGGGCTTTCCCCCTGCTGGGGCTGGGTGTGGGGTGCAGGGTCGGCCCTCACAGCTTCATGCCCCTCCCTTTCACAGCTCTCAGTCCCCCTGAGCCCTGAGGACCCAAATCCCACGAGTCAGCTGGTGGGAAGTGGAGGCAGCCCCGGGGCCCTGAGGCCGTGCCAGGTGCACTGGTAGCTTCCCCAGGAAGGTGTGTCCACCTTGGATTGAGAGACAATGCCAACTGCTGGCCTGGGTCCTGGAATCCTGCCTCAGGCACATGTCACCTGTGTGTCCCTGACCCAATGAGTGTTCTCTTCTCAGCCTCTGCTTTCCCTGCTGCCAAGTGGGGCCACTGTGGTGGTTGCACTATCTCAGCTCTAGCACATACGGAAACCTAGTATTTGGAAATACGGAGGCATTGGGTGAACCCCCATGATGGCTGGGCAGCCTGAGGAAGCCCAGAGTTGGGGCAGGCAGATGTTGTACCTCAGCGCTGAGGTGGGTGTGACCTTCCCCACAGAGGGCATGGGGAACAGTTGCACTGTCTGCCTCCTCCTCAATCTCCCGGTTGGCCCCTGGATGTCTTCATTTGATCTGATCATCTATGTTCAGTGACTTCTTCCAGGGCCATCTGGTAAACCCGGAGCAACTCCCCTGCCCCAGCACACTTCTAGGCCGTCTCTCCTTCTTTCCATGGGTGCCTAGAATGGGGCAGAGCACTGTCACTGCCACATTCCCCCACTGCAGCGTTGTGTAGGCAGCCTCAGGGATTGTGTCCCTGTCTGTACTTTCTGATGAGAGGCTTAGGGACTGAGTAACTTCCTTATACAGAGAGCTAATGTGTACTGAGCACTGACTACCTCAGGTACTAAGTGCCTCACCTAACACTATCCCCACTCATTCTCAGAAGAGACCTATTGTTACCCCTTTGCGTGGATCTGGAACTGGTGGCCTTCTCCCTGCTCTGGCCTGTGAACACCCTACTGGAAAAATCATTGCATTTCTTTCAGATTTTTTTCCCACTTAGTCCCAAGCATCCCACCCCTCAGGCCCAAGCCCTTTCCCCTAACAGTACTTGGCCATTAGTTTTCATTATCAGCACCAATGAAGGAGTAACACAGTTCAGAAGTTCATAGCTAATCTGACAACAGAGTTAGAGCCAAAGAGCTGCTTACGAGGAAATGACCATTCCGTAGAGAATAGCCCTGACCCACGGTTCAGGGCTACAAAAAGAGTTTGGGCTCAGGACTGAGAAGGCTCCACAGCTGCAAGTTATGGAACTCTGTTTAGCCTGGTGAGTACCAACTCCACACACAAAGAAACCAGAAAACAAGAACAAAGAAAGCCCCTGTTCCCTCCTCAGGCTCCCCTGTCTCGGTAGGTGGCACCACATCCACCCAGTTGCTCTGGTCAAAAACCTGCATGTCATGTTGATTCCTCTTTGCTTTCATCCCCACATCGAGTCCACCAGCAAGCCCTGTTGGGGCTCCAGACAGAGGTCTCTTCCGAGAATTAGTTGAGATAGTGTATGTAAGGCACTTAGCACAGTACCAGATGCAGTTGGATGTTGCCTGTCTAAAACACATCCAGCTCTAGCCAGCCCTCGACGGATTCGTTGTACCTAGAATAAACCCAAACCCCTTCCCAGGGCCCACGAGGCCTGCCCACCTCTCCTCACTCACTTCTGTCCTCCTCAGCAAGCTCAGGTAGTCACGCCTCAGGGCCTTGGCACATGCCATCTCACAGCCCAGAACACTCTTCCCTCGCATCTCTCCCTGGCTTTCCCCTCATTTGGTTTCAGCTCCAGGAACGCCTCTTCAGAGAGACCTTATTTTTAAAGGAAATTTTCAATAATATACAAAAGGAGCAGAACCTGCGTAATGACCTTGATGCAGCCTTCCCCCTACTTTCAATAATTATCAACCCTGACCAATCTGGTTTTGTTGATACCCTTGCCACCGATTATTTTGAAGCAAATCCCAGACAAGCAGCATTTCAGGTATAAATATTTTAGTTTCTCTGAAAGAGAAATTGTCTCTGACAGGCAGGACAGGTCACCCATTCCTAAGCAGCTGTCCCTTCCCCTCCATTCTCTGTCCCTTCCCTTGTCTAGTGATGTCACGGTACTTATCACTCTCTGGCATTCATTTTGTTCATTGTTTGTTATTTCATTGTCTTTTTCCCTCTCCAGTCCCTCAAGTGTGATGCCCTTGAGAGCAGGGACTCTGCCTGCCTTGTTCCCCTTAAACCTCAGAGCATGGCCCGGTGCCTGGTGCCTGGTAGGAACGCAGTGGTATCTTTGGATAGAAGAAGGCAGAGAGAAGAGGAGCTGGCGTCTGCCCAAGCGTTAGCTCTGCTTGCCAAGGGCAGGGAGGAGGGGAGAGGTGGATGGACGGATGTGTCCACTGATGTTCTCATGTCATTTTCTTTTAGATAAAAAACCCACCTATCTGAGTCGAGACTCATTAGTTTGCCCAGGACATGTATTTAAGCACGTTGGACAGTAAGTGCTCCAGGTCGGGTATCCGATGGGCAATTTTTGCCACCGTGAGGTGCCCAAGATGTGTGATGCTGCCTCTGCTGGAACAGCACTTGCCTTCTCTGGGAGGACTCAGGGCATCCAGCATACCTGCCCCTGGTGGTGGTCCCCCGAGGTGCTCACAGATTTGCTGTGGCCCAGGATTTGCTGAGGAGGGCAGGATGCGGGAGATGGTGTCCCCCAGGGAGGGTTCCTTTGCTCCAGGGAGACTTTCAGGGCTAAACCAACATACACTATAAATACCAAAGAGTCACGATGGTGACCATATGTTCATGCCTAGTCACTTAGCCCATGGGCACAGGGCATCTGACCCCATGCAGGGCTCCTCACTGCCTGGTCAGCCTTCACTGCAGAGATTGACCTTACAGTGTTTGGGCTGAGCTCTGCTTACCCATGCGTGTGGTCTACTCTCCAGTGGCCCTAATGCGTACAGTGAGGACAGCTATTGGCTGCGGTTTGAGCCAAGGGCAGTAACAGTGCCTGTCTGAGCTGGTGGTCATGATCTGCCCATCCTGTACTTTAGGAAAGTCACCATTGATTGCAGCCTGGACAATGGCGTCAGCTTCATGGGAGAGACGATGACAATCACCAGCATCAACTGTGTGAGTGCCAGGATGGGGCTGCAGCCTTCCCCCCGGCTGTCCAGAGTCCCTGCAGTGGAGAGAGAGACACCCTGGGGATCAGGAAGGAGGAACAGTGGCCCTAGGCAAGCCCAGCAAGTAGTTTGTGCAGACAGGCACCTCGGGAGCATCTCACAGTCAGCCAGGAACTTAAGGCCTTCCTTGGGGAGCTGTCCCCCAGCTCAGGCTTGGGAAGTGCCCTGGGAGTGCTTCTATAGGAGCACCAGGGGTGCAGCCAGGTGGCCAGGCCTTGCAGAACCTCTGCTCTCTGAACCAAGTGTCGTTGAAGGCACCTGGGGAGGACCAGTTAGAACTCCAGACCGACCCCAGAAATGGAGCTGAGACTCTGCCCACGCTGTCTCCCACGCTGCCACCTCCCTGACCCGGGTCTAGCGGTGGGGACGTCGGGGCTCCATCATGGATTCCAGCTGGGGCGAGTGGGAGAGGCAGGAAGGTGTGTGCTAGGAACCAGAATCCAGGACCTCTGAGGTTCCTGGGCCCTCCAGATCGGGGACCCTGGCACAGGGGATTTGGAGAGTGGGCCCAGCTGTGGCCCTGCATAGCCAGGGTGTGTATCCACTGCACTGGTGCCTAAGCTACTGGTACAGCTCTGAACCCACTCATGACTGTCACAGCCCCTGCCCCCAAGCCTGCTTGGGGACACCTACTGTCATTTTGCAGATGTCTTCAGCCTCCCTTCTGCCTCTCTTCCTCTCTCCTGCTCCTCAGCTGTCCCTCAGCGCTAACTCCCTCTGACCTCTGCAGGAAGTGTCTCCTCTGTGGGTGGGGAAGCTGTCAGGGCTGTGGGGAGGGGCCGGGGACTCAGCTCAGGGAGAGGCACCTGGGAATGGAGGTGCTGCCCCCCAGGAGCCCACTCGTCAGAGCTTCTCATCATCTGGGTGCCTCAGCCCAGGGCGGCATGACTTGGGCGACAGAGAGCGTTAGGTGGTGGAAGACGTGTGCGTGGGAGGAGGGACGCCTGCGCCTGTGGCCTCCACCGTGTGTCCAGTACCAGCTTGTGAGGGTTGCAGCGGTGCTGACGGTCCTCCATGTGTGTGTCTTCGCTGTCCCTGGACATCCACTCACCGGTCAGCAGCTGAACTCATGCGTTCCCCCGTCAGGAGTCCCACCAGCTGACAGCCCGCCCTCAACAGGTGCATTTAGAAAGAACTCAAGAGCAGCCTGTGGCTCTGGGCCAGCACAGGGCCGTCACCGTCAGCCTGGCCTTTGCCTCTCACCTCAGGGCCCTGTTTCCTGGGCACAGGCTCTGTCTCCCCACTCTCCCTCTCCTGCTTCTCTGAGAGCAGAGACTTGGTGTGGGGAAGGGCTGTGCAGCGTGCGTGTACACAGATGCGGCCCCCTTTCCCGTGGTCATGAGGAACACAGTAGCTCCCGTTCCTTAAGCCCCCACATGGACCTGGCCTGTCCCGGACTTGCTGTAATCGCTCTCAAACCCAACAAGTGCCCGCTCATTTCCTCGTTACAGGACAAAACAGGCTCAGAGAGGTTGAGTCGCTTTGACCAAGGTTGCAGAGCCATGAAGTGCGGAGAGAGGCGATGGGGGCTGGACCCGGGGCTCCTGCGTCTGCTCTTGCACCCCCACCTCTCAGTGGGCCCAGCAGCCCCTCCTCACCCGTCTGTGTCTCTGTAGCTTTTTGTGGTCTTCACAACACCCCTGTACTGTCAAACATGGCATGCAGTGAGGGCTGGGTTTGGTCAGTCCGTGGAAGATTCTGGAATACTTTGACAGAGCTCTGGGGCAGAGCTTCTGAGCAGAGCCAGTGGTGGGGTCTGTGGCCCAGGGCTCCAGAGTGGCTCTCCTGGTCCCAGCCTTGGCCTCCTCATCCTGCTGTGGTCCATCGAGGTGGGGCAACCTGAGGAGAAGAGGGAGCGGGCAGACGAGTATGTCTGGTGTGGGAGGCCAGGTGGTGGGCGCCTGGGAAGAGGCCACCCGGGCCCATCCCACGCCTCTGCCACGTGTCCTTTCTGTAGCCAGATGCCACGGCTGTTCCAAAGACGGAGACCTCTGTGCCCACAACTGTCACACGGAAGAGGACCCCAGTGCCCACGACTGTCACACGGAAGAGGACCCCAGTGCCCACGACTGTCACACGGAAGA